TGTTCCAGCACTTGCCTTTATTACATAAGCCCCACACTTTGTACAAGTGATCCTTTGCACATTCCATGTGTCATCTTTTTTTTTTTTTTAACAGAATAAAGTGACAAGAAAGGAAAAGGGCTCAGTGTTCTCAGAAAAAGTGAATATCAACAAACAACACTCATGTAGCCAAATAAAATAACACTGTAATTCTAGATCGTGTTAACATTATCTATTTACTTATTGACATCAACAGCAAAGCTTTGATTATGTTTTACATTAACATGGCCTTGAAATGTAACACATATTACCATATTACAATGCAGTTGAAATTAAAACTTTATACTTTCTCAAAGTTCTTTATAGAGCTCTCTTATTTCTAAGCTGATTTTTCAGCCTGTTTACATTCTGAGGCTAAATGGAAATAACATTGCAAGTATATTCTACTAAGATTTTAGCACAAAAACATTTTTTAAAGTAGAAAGGAAAAAAAAAAACCCACAACCAGAAAATAGTTAACATGAAATAATCTGAGGTCATTTTCCACTTACATCATCCATTTCTATATTTCACAGAAATGGTTTTTTGCTATGTTTAGTGTGTTAACATGCCTTAATGTCTTAATCCCTTGAGTCACAGGATTTAAAACAGGTATTCAGAATTGTTTTTATTAACTTCCACTACACTATGCATTTAAACACTAAGTAGCTGCTTAACTTGAAGTTTCCTCAACTGACAGAAATATTTATACAAGAAACAGACATCACAACACTCATCACAGTTTGTTTTCATACACAAACACAACTGTGGCTCTGCATTTCTATAACAAACTCCATTTAGCTTTGCAGACTATTGGCAATGACAGTGAATCTCTGTTTCAGCATCTCCCTTTTCTGCTTTAAATGCTTTTCTATGGCCCTGGCTTCTTTTAGGATCTCATCAAGCTCCTGGACATAAGAAGAATCCAATGCTATTCTTTCACTAAAGTGAAGAAATCTGTGGTTAAAATCAATGCTTATGCCATTCACTTTCTCACTACTTTTATGTTTTTCTTAAAAATGGGTTGTCTACCAATACCCAGTTTCTGACCCAATTAATCCTCTGCTGTAATAAAAACCACCATTTTTCTTTCAAGATCTGTTTGACAATTTTCAGTGTTAATTTCCCTAAACTGCAGCCACCCATCCATCTTATCTGGAGAATTTTAAAATTGCTGTGCAAATAGCACAAAGTTAACTTGCCTTATAGTGTCAGCATATTTTGATAACAAGTCATTAATTTCTTTGCTGATCTCTGTTAAGAGAGAAAAAGATAATTTTATTTAAACATTTGGCTGAATCTCAAGATGAAATTAGGCCATTCCATACTCACTTCCAGTATATTTACTACATCACCATTTAAAACCTTTTCCAGTGGTTCAGTCTTGAAAAGGGACTGCGAGTCCTCAGAAGGAGCCAAATCTGTTTTGTCAGACAACGGAGGATTTTCTGAAGCTTCATTCTAACAACAGAGCACATTAGGAAAAATACAGTTCTGGGAAAATACCTTTGCATAGAGTTTAGCTGAGAGAAAGAAGAGGCTTCAAAAGACCTTGAGGGTGTTTTTGGAGAAAATGCAAGTGGGTTAACAGTATCGTGAGCATCTTGGGGAATGGGTGGAAGTACCAGACTGAGATCTCTGTATATATATACATTTATTTATATATATACATGTATTTATATCTATATACTGATATATGCAGTATATATATCTCAGTAAAATCTGGTGCACTTCAGAAGCTTGCTCTCAAGAAGTTCTACATAAATATGTCCCAGTGCTTACCCAATTTTTTTGGGCTTCAAGCCCTCAGAGAAACTGCGGTTTCCCCACACAAAAAAAGTAATTTCTGTTCCCCTAAACCTCCCTAAAATGCCGTGGATCTCTGTTCCTTCAACCCAGAGGAGGACATGGGATTTGGGGGGGGGGAGTGGGTCCTCCCTCACACAGCACCACTCACCTCCATATTTTTACTTTTATTTCTGTTTTTATCTGCTTTTTGCGAGTTGCTCGCCATGGCCGCCTCACGGAAAGCACCACCAGGTGTTTGCTGAGCGGTCACGCTGAGGAGAATGTTTAAATAAAAGCCTGTAAAACCTGCAGCCTCTGCAAGGGCGCTCCCCTCACGGGGGAGGCAGCGCCTCAAAGGGCTGGAGACGGCGGGGGAATGGCGGGGAGTCCCAAGCCGGCCTAAAGTCGATATCCGAGGGCATTTAATTCGATATCAGAGGGGATTTAAACCTTTCTGATCTCCCCCAGAGCCTGAGGGCACCGAGGCGGCCAGGACGCCCCGGCCCCGCCGCTTTCCCCTTCAGGCGGGCGGGCAATGGCCGTGAGGGGCCGCGACTGTGAGGACGAGGGAAAAGGGACGAGAAACAAGGGACGAAAAACAAGGGACACAAGGGACAGGACACAAGGGACGAAGCACTAGGGACACTCGCTCCCCTCAGGGCTGGCAGCACCCCCGGTGCCAGCCTCGGTGGCAGCGGCAGGAGCGGCCCGAGGCGATCCCTCAGGGCCCGGGCGGCGGCTCCGGCCAGGCCGTTCCATCAATGAAAGCTTTGAACAGTTCTTTAAACCTTTCCTGTCAAATTTCACCTTCTAAACGAAATCCGAATGGATCTGCCTCAAAAAAAAAGAGCCAGAAATGAGCGCAAATGGAGCGACCAGGCACTAAAATGAGTAAAAACGCTAAAATGAGTAACAGCACTAAGATGAGTAACAGCACTAAAATGAGTAAAAACACTAAAACGCATAAAAACACTAAAATGAGTAACACTTAAATGAGTAACACTAAAATGAGTTACACCAGTGCAACACAGGGCTGCCAAGACCGTATTTTCTCTCTCTTGCTGATGAGTGGAGAATAAAACTGTATTTCCCAAGGCTGTGTTTCACCACTGTAGGTGAATCGTGCCTTTGTTCACTACAGTGACATCAATTATTGCAAGATGGGAATTTATGATAATGGTGTGCTATATTATACGATTTACATGATGATACGTTATTTAAGTTATGGTATGTAATGTTATGTAAAGTTTGACTTGGGTTTTTTTTTTTCTTTTTTCTTTCTTTTCTTTATTTTTCTATTTTCTGTTTTGAAGAGAGGAAAGGACCTCAATCTCACGTACATCATTCACAGAGGAAATTAAAATATCAGCATAAGAAATCAAACTCCTGAAGGAACAAGAACTAAATACTTCCTCAAAGTAGAAACAACTTTTAATAAGCGACCATAGCCCACTTCATTTAATTATCAGATATCTCATAGATAATTATGTTATTAGCATTACTATCAAAACATTAAGAAACAGATATGACAGAACATGTTAGGGAAATATTCTTGAGATATTTACTTAATTGTGTCATGGTAATAGTTTTATTAACAGACGATCTGGAGTAAAACAAATTAAACATGTGAATTTTCATTTCCATTTTCTTATGGATAAGGTAGTCTATAAATAAAACTCAGATGGAAAGTAAAACATTAAAACACTTAAAAGAAAATTGTCTAAGGGGAGAGAGTTCACTCTTACTGGAGTTCCAGTTCCTTTAAAACTGGAGCAAAATTATCTAAGCCATTACTCTAAAAGTAGTTGCAGTTCCTCTAAGATTGGAGATATTAAATTCCAGGAGAAATGAAAAGTCTAAACTGTACCACAAAAACCATTGTACGAGTTAGATCTGGTCCTGAAAAATGCAAATATATGCATAAAGGATAAGGAAATGCTTTTTATTCAATGTGTTCAGTGAACTAATTAAATTTTAAGGCTCTCAAAGGCTGACATGAAAGACCAAGTCCTCCTTGCATGGAATATCAACTGGCCAAAAATATTAGTGCCAACAGCTAATACAAAGTAAAAAAAAAAAAATTATCTGAATGTATATTTAAACTTAAATGATTAATTACTAGCACAGTGTTAATTTTTGAGAAATGTTTTTTGCTAAACCAGCCAAAATCCAGGGTTATTAGTAAAGAGGCAGGGGTTTAGTGTTAGTGTTGGTGTTGGTGTTAGTATTAGTATTTGTATTAGTTATAGTATTAGTGTTAGTGTTAGTGTTAGTATTAGTATTAGTATTAGTGTTAGTGTTAGTGTTAGTATTAGTGTTAGTGTTAGTGTTAGTGTTAGTATTAGTGTTAGTGTTAGTGTTAGTGTTAGTATTAGTATTAGTGTTAGTGTTAGTGTTAGTGTTAGTGTTAGTGTTAGTGTTAGTAAAGAGCCGCTCCTGCTCTCAGGGCTCCGCGGAGGTTCCTCCGCCCACGCCAGCATTCCCGGGCGCTGCTGCCACCAGCAGCGGGCACCAGCAGCGCGGAGATTCCATCCCAAAGCGGCTGTTCCCGCAGGGAGCCGGCATGGAAGCCAGGCTGCCACGGGCAGCACCTGCCCCAGAGCTGCTGGAGCAGCAGGACGAGCCCGCTGACATCAGCGCGACACCGAGCGAGCGGGACAAAGCCACCCTCGGAACCCCAGATTTGCATAAGGCGCTGGCTCCTGCAGCGAGGAGGGGAAATGCCGTGCGAGAAATGCGGACGTAGGCACAAACCTTGGGAAAACGTCCCGATTTCGGCCGCCCCAGCCGCTATAAAACCCCTCCCGGCTGCGTTAAGGCAGCGCTGGCTTCCCTCCGGCTGGGGCATCCCCGGTGGCAGCGGGGACCTGACCCGGGGTGGCCTTGGCACAGCGCCGATCCTGAGCCCGGCAGCTCCGCTGCTGCGCCTGCCGCGGCTCCCATCGCCCGGCTGCAGCTCCCGGGGAGCCAGGAAGGAGCACCGAGAGCCAGAAAGGAGCACCGAGAGCCAGGAAGGAGCACCGAGAGCCAGAAAGGAGCACCGAGAGCCAGAAAGGAGCACCGAGAGCCAGAAAGGGCTCCTGAGGAGCCAGAAAGGAGCACCGAGAGCCAGAAAGGAGCACCGAGGAGCCAGAAAGGAGCACCGAGGAGCCAGAAAGGAGCACCGAGAGCCAGGAAGGAGCACCGAGAGCCAGAAAGGAGCACCGAGAGCCAGGAAGGAGCACCGAGAGCCAGAAAGGAGCACCGAGAGCCAGAAAGGAGCACCGAGAGCCAGAAAGGAGCACCGAGAGCCAGAAAGGAGCACCGAGGAGCCAGAAAGGACCACCGAGAGCCAGAAAGGGCCACAGAGGAAACAGAAAGGAGCACCGAGAGCCAGAAAGGAGCACCGAGAGCCACCTCTGCTCCCGCCCCGCATCCTGCGCTTCTCTCCGCTCTCATCGCCCGACTGCAGCTCCCGAAGAACCAGAAAGGAGCACCGAGGAGACAGAAAGAACCACCGAGGGGCCAGCAAGGACCCCCGAGAGCCACCTCTGCTCCCAGCCCGGCCCCGCGCTTGCCCCGCTCCCTCCGGCGGCCGCCGCTGCTCCCGGCCCGCATCCCTGCGGCTTCTCGGGGTGAGTCATTGCAGGCCGAGTCAGGAGCTCCTTTGAGCTTCTGCGTTCCTTTCAAACGGTAGAAGCTCTAAAAACGGTCCTCGGTAAAAGGGCTAGATAGCCATCTTTTGCTACTCAAGGTTGGGCTTGATGATCCTGGAGGTCTTTTCCAACCTTTTTGATTTTGTGATCAAGGGAAGAAGCACAGTCATTTTGTTCTACCCATTAAACCAAGGGCCACTTTTTCCTTTAGTCCTGTGTCAAAAGTTCTGCCTCTGCTTGCCCCTGGGCTTTGGAGTAACAGAGAACTTTGAGGTTTATGTGCTAAGAGCGAGATGTGCAGGGCTGGGTGTTGTGGTATCTCGTTTCCAAGGCGTGGATGTGCATGTTTGCAAACAGAGATGCTGCTGGGAGCCTGCTGTCTCTTCTGCACAGCTACAACTTCATTAAAAACATATGAAATACAAAGAGAAAAAAAATCACTCAAATACATTCCTTAAAGTGCGTTGTTACAGGGACAAAGAAAACCACGGTGATTCCCACCCTAATCCCTCTGGGTGTGCGTGTTTATTTATGTTTATATTGCTCACTTTTTATATAAAAGGTCATTTTCAACTGGTGAGAACGCTTTGGAGCGAGCTGGGTATTTTGACTGCACAATCAAATCCCCATGCAAGAGCCAGATCTCCCCATTGTTCACCTGGTTTTAAGACATTTAATATTTTTAGTGCAAGGGATGACCTTTCTAGGGGCAGTCAGAATGGGCTGTAACTTTTGGGTATTTTGGAAGCTCATGCTTTTCTAGGGGGAACCTCATAAGGTCAGTGTGTGCAGGCTTAGCTTTTATCCCTTTATGGGGTAAGAAGCATCGAGCTTAACTCTGATTCCTCTCCCTGTGCTGTGGGCAGGGTGAAGATGAGTGCTGAAGAGATTCTGGTGCGTGCAGTAGAACTTGGACAAAATTTCTGCCTCTATTTTGACGGTAATTAGAGCATTTAATAACCTTTTCTGTTTGAATACCGATTTAACACAATTCCTTTGTCAGTCTGATTTCACCTAACTCCCCTCACAAACTTCAGTTTTAAGTGTTAGCCAAGTAGCTGAGTCAGAGGAATACTTGTTGCTTGTACAAAAAATCCTGGGAAAGGACACTCAGAAGTGTTGGAATACTGGGAGTGGACTTGGAGTGGGTGAGTAATTTCTGATCTCATGGAAAAAAAGTCAGTTAGAAAACAGTTTCTTGTTTAAAAGCAATTTGTAATGAGTTCTTGTCCTTTTGCTCACTTGAAGGCACTGCTCGAAACCAAAAATTTGCATGCAATTATTCCTCAGTTTTAGGCTTAGAATGACCTTCTCACCTTTAAATAACCCTAAAAAGGCATTTTGCATACCTCTGGTTTGGTGGTGACTCCAGTTCTCAAATGACTGGGTTTTCATTTGTTTTGCTCTGTAGTGACAGCAGCTCAGCCTTGGTGGCACTGGGCTGTGGGAACTCGTGGGTGGCTGCCTGGGCACAAAGTGACTCCTTTTGTGTGGGCAGAGCTTAATGTTGTTTTTCTTTCCTTTTTTTCACTGCTCACTTGGAACCAAGACGACGATGGTAAGCTGAGAACTCGTCTTTCATGATTTTGTTACTCATTTCATACCTGCTAATCCAGAGAGGACAAGTTTCACACTGAGAGTGGCTGCAAAAAGAACAGAGCTACAGCTCACTGCTACTTGTGATGCTGATGCTGCTTTAATTCCTCTTAGGACACAGGGTCGTGGCTTCCCTGACAGCACCTTTCAATGCACTTTAATTCTTGGGCAAAAGAGAACTGATGCTTCTGAGTTCTCATTAACAAACACAGCAGCTTTTCTTGCTTGTATACATAAATTTCTGTTATAAATAAACTTCTGCTTATAGAAATAAATTTCAGATTCTGGGAAATCTGCTTCAAGCAGAGGTGTAAAAGATGATGTGTTTGATATCATTCTAAGAACTCCTTTCATGTGTCATCCATAATGCCAGGACTAAGCTGGCAGCAAGCTGTCAGGATCTGAGGAGACAACAGCTAAAACATGAAGAATTTTGCTTTATTTTTCCTGCAGAGCTGGAGTGTGATGCCCTGTGCAAGGACAAGACCCTGCACCGAGTGCTGAGGAACGTGAACAGCCAGCTGCTGGTGGTGCGCCCCGACCTGAACGTGGCAGCCTTTGAGAATGTGACAGACAGGGAGATGCAGTCTGGTAATTTCCAAACAAACAGAAACCATCACCACCTTGATCCTGAAGGTGGTTTTGTTCTTTGTAATCAAAGCCCAATGGTGGGATTGAGAATAATGACTTGAAACTTCATTTGAGAGAAGAAAACTAAGCTGAGAGTGAAATTTTGTGTCTTGGCATTGGTGATGGATGAGATTTCTGGCTTAGACCAAAGCCTGCAGGATGTCACATCCAGGAAAAGGGCTGTTAAGATTTTTGCTTGGCTCTGATCACAAAATTCACAATTCCCCCCTTTTTCTTATGCTGGATTACAAAAAAATCACTTTAAAATTCAAACAATGTATTGGCACTAAAAGGTCTTACTTTCTTCTAATAATATTAGCTATAAACTTACTGTTTTGGCTTTGACTTTTTGAGGTGTTTCAGCAATTTATTTACAACTCTATTTATTGCCCATATTTATTTCTGGATCATCCTTATCCAGCCATGCTCTCATTTACAGATAGCCACTTCCACATGCCAATCTCAGTTCCTGCATGCTCCCAAAAGGGTCTGACCCCTCCCCACACTGCCTGGTGACCTTGCTGCACCCTGGTTATTGCCTGATTGAATAAAGCACAACCAGAAGCCATAAAAATTCAAGTCCTGGCTCTTCTGTCAGGAAAAATATCGTGGTGAGACAGCCAGAGCTGCCAGGGGAATGGTAAAACATCACTGACTGCAGTTGTGCTGCTCCCTTGGAGCAGGTTTTCAACAATAACCCATTTATTTCCAGGCAAAGGGATGCATTTCAGCATTCACTGCTACAAAACCACCACGCCCTTAGCTGGGTTGCCCGTGGCCTTCAGTGTGCAAGTGGAAAACAAGAATTATTACATGTGTTGTGAGAGGGAATGTGGAGAAATGATCGTTAGGTTCAAGGTAAGGGTCTGCTTCCCTCTCCTCATCTGTACAAATCCAACAGGCACAATTAACCACTCAGCTGGAATAAAGCTGGTCAGGGCTCGTGCTGGGATTAACCTGCTCCCTTCTTCCTTCCTCAGGAGGGAGAAGTTCCCAAAGAAATTCCTGGTGAAAGCAACATCATCTTTTTCCAAAAGACATTTACATCTTGCTCCTCCACAGCATTTAAGTTTGAATACTCAATGGAACGAGGAATGTTCTTGGCCTTTGAGGAAGAAGGCTACTTGAGAAAATTAATCCTTAAGAAACTGTCAAAAGATGAAGTGGATGAAACCATGAAGATGAGTTTATGTACGTTCAGTCAGAATAAAAATCACAACCTATGATGGAACACTTCAACAGTTTTAAAATACAGTTTGGGTTTTTTTTGCTTTTTTTTTTTAATAAGAGAAACTTTAGTCTGTCTTTACCCAAAAGTAATCAGTTTAATGTTTTAACTACTGTCAGTACTTATTAAAAAAAATAAATGCAAGTTTTTGGCAAAAGGCCAAGCATGTTTCCCAGTCAGACAGAAGAGAATTACACACTGAAGAAACAAGACTGTGTATGTCAATATAGTCCTGTAGAATCTGATCCCTAAAATCTTTAATGCCTGTTGACCCAACAGCTTTTGAATCAGGTTTGGACTTTTCCATTGCCAAACCTCTCAGATGATGAATTTCTCACCCCAGCAGCTTAAACACATCCAGCTGCATCCTGTGTGAGGAAACCTCAGACACTTTCCATGAGAGACCCTCAGCCTGCCCACAGGGACTTACCCATGACTCACCATCTGCACACTCCTCCTCCTCCTGGGACAAAAACAACACGTGCTGCCATTTAAACCAGACCACAGCACCACCAAAAAACTGGCCAGCTACCTGTTTTTGCTAATAAATAAAACTCCCAATCCACATTAAAAAGAAAAATCAGAAAGTCTTGTAGAATCCTAACAGTGACTTGGTGGTTCTGTTCATTGCAGAGTCACTGATGGTAACTCAAATTCTCTTCCTCTCACTACTAATAGTGCCACAAAAGTACCATGGGAGTGTGGAAAGAGTTTTCTACTCCTTGGCAATGTGAAAGTCAGACAGGATGAAGCAGGAAGTTAAAAACCACAATCTCAGTTCCCCCCTAAAAAATCCCTTAAAAAACAGAACATTCCCTCAGCCTCTTCTTCGTTGTCTTTTCTGTCACACAGGGCAACACAGACCAGAGTATTTAGAAAATAAACCTCAAGAAAGTGTTGCAGATGAACATAAAAACCTTGAAAGTTGAGTGTTCCTAAAGCCAATCTGAAAAGTATTTTTATTCTATGCCAATCCTTGTTGTGTTTTCTAAGGGACATTAATTATCCTTGTGTTAAGTCAAGTCTAAGTCTCCCCTAAGTATTAATTCATACAAATATTCTTCATTTTATGAAGTAAGGCAGAGCAGACCTATCTACAGAGAAAACATTTTAGGTAACCCAAAAGCAGTAAAAATGGTTCAGAAGCACACACAAAATTTCTGTAAATTCTTTATTGCATGGATTAAGAAAAAAGTATTCCCTTTTCTACATCAGCTCCCAGGGTCCAAAGAGTTACAGGGTCTGCCTTACACACTGATGTCAGAAGAAGCAGTTCAGTTTTTCACAAGCCAAGCTTGTTTTACAGAACAGGAAACCAACCAACAGTTACAAAAACACTCATTAAAGCTGGTATTACAAGGAGAGTTCCCTTTAGCTATGCAGGTCTGCCACTGCTGTAACTCATTCATCCCAATTTACAGCGCAGCTTGAATCCACTCACCCTCACTGGACATTTTCCAGCTCAATCTGCATTTAAACCTGCTTTTTCTCTATATATTCTAAACTAGCTCTGAGCCCCCTGCAGGCTCACTGGGGACCCTTGGCTGTTCCTTTGTGGTGCAGGATGTTGCTCACAAGCTGATGAAGCAGAGGCAGCAGAGGACAATCGTGTGTGTCGGGGCTGGGGCTCCTCAGAGGCTCCAGAGCATGGCCACAGCCTTGCAGATGCCCACGTCGTGGTAGTTGAAGTGGCAGAGGCCAGCGAAGGTCAGGGCAGACAGGATGTACAGCCCCGTGTTGGCCACTTTAATGGGGACATCTCCGTGCACATAATCAGTGATTACCTGGCCCAGACCCCTAAACAAGAGAGAAAAGCTCAAATCAGCAAAGCTCACTCACCGAAATCCATCCCTTTGTGCCCCCGTTCTGCCAACTCGCTTTTTTCCCCCTGCTGCCATCAGCCTATCCTGAAGAATGCTCAGTTCCCACACAGAAAGAGGAAGAATCTATTTCAAAACCAAAACAAAACCTTCCAGATTCTATTGAAAATACACAGATTGGCTCAGAGTTTTCTTGAGGAAAACAAGCGCTGACCACAGCTCTCCAAACCGAATCCCTGGAATCTGCCTTCTTATCTGACTTCCAAGGACTGGAAAAGAGGAAAACCAAGGAAATATCTGGGACCAGCCATTGTAACAAAGACACAGAAGACTCTTGGGTACTCATTTAGATTAGAAGAGTGACAACCAAAGAAATTAGCACATTTTCAATTTTTTCAACATCTGGAAGAGAACTCCTGTCCAGATTTGAACTATCCGGCAACACGAAACACAGGATGCTTGTCTTGGGAAAAAGCTCCCAGTCAGAGCAAGGAAAGTGCAAGAATCCCTGGCACAAATTCCTAAGGGCAAAACTGAGGTTTAAGAAAACCTGACACCCCCAAAGTATCACAGAAATCTGCTTTATCCTTGTGGCAAGGAACTCCCAAACCAGGATCACCTCAGGAGGGCGGATGCTGCCAGCCTGGCCAACCGTGCAGCTGGATCCACTCCTAATTAGCCCTGTCCCTGCTCTCATTAAGGATCACAGCAGAACTACACTGAGCAAACATCCATCCAGGAATAAAGGAAATAATCATCCAGGTCTCCTTAGTGGAATATTTGCTGTGAGTTCTTTACTATGCAGAACCTCATCACCACTGAGATGTACAAAGCCAGTGCACGGAGCTTTAGAGGCAGAATAATTTTGTATTATTTTTATACAGATCTGTTCCTTCTGTTTATGAAACACTGGCTCTTCCATGGGCTAAAAACATCCAGGATTCTACACTTCTAGCGGCAAGGAAGTGCTCTTAAGGTTAAGACACTACAGAGATTTTATGGATTCTTTTTCTGACTGAGAGAACAGAGAGAGAAAGGAAGACCGAAGTACGACCGCTCCTGCCACCGAACGTGGAGACCAAGGACTTTTCCCAGCTGTTTTACACTAGACCAGGATGAGGTCTGGAGGCACCCCACGTGCTCTGCTGTGAGCTGAGCCCTGCTGTGCTTACCAGTGGCCGTGCAGGGTGAGGGCTGCAGCCAGGGAATAGTCCACGGCCGGTCCAGGGCACAGGTAGGCTGCGGGGAGCAGCCCCAGCAGCAGCACACTGACCGCTCGCTCCCCTGTCCAGTGCAGAGATGCAGCCTTGGAACCGCCTGCAAGGAGAGACATTCTCAGGGAAAAGCGCCTCTGCCAAGGGCTGGAGGGATGCCTTTGGAAGCTGGAGAGTTTGCAAACCAAAACCCTGCATGAGCAGTGCTTGGGAGCACAACGGGAGCATCAGCCCAGGCTGAGACCATCAAGAACTGACCCTGTGAAATTATCAACGCAACGCCCCCAAAGTGCTCAACTAACACACAGATATCCATCCACCTAAACCAAAATACAAATGTTTTCCTTCGTTTTGGCACGGAGAAAAGAAATTTAGAAAGTGACAAGATAAGGAAAGCAAAGGATCTGAAGTTTGGACTTGGGCAAAGTGCAAAGTGAAGTGCTATTAACTGGCAGAAATGCTGCTGAAGGTCAGGGTACACACACCCCTCACAGGCTGAGGCACCACAACTGCACCATCATTTATCACAAATAACATCTCTGCACAGTTACTGCCCTGTCTAACAACGCTCAGCATTTCACAGCTTTTCCCTTAAATCAATGGGCATTTAGGATTATTTTTTCCTTTGCTGGTAACACCCATAACCACACATCACCCAATAAGACACCAAGAAAACCACTGCACCACATGTGAATCTCTTCTGCTCTTTGTTACAGCTGCCACTTAAACCCTCCTAGAGTGGCCCAAAAAAAATTATAGACTCAGCCTGGTTTGGGATGGGAGAGACCTTAAAGCTCATCTTGTTTTTAAGTCCCTGTGTGGCCATCAGGTACCACCTGTCACCTCTGTCCTTTATCCCTGCACTGCTGTTGGTGCCTTGATGGGCTAAGCCAAAATCTGCTCCTATACAGTCCATTGTTGACAGAATCACAGAATATTCAGAATATTCAGAAGTTGGACAGACAGTGAAGGATCACCTAACCCCAACGCCTGCCATGGGCAGGATGCCTTGAGCTAGACCCGGGCGCTCGGGTTCAGCAGCTCCAGGGATGGAAAAAGGGTTCTGATCCCGGAAAAACGAGAGTCCCGCCCACAAACACGGCCAGACAGACAGACAGACAGACAGACACAGACAGGGCCGTACCGTGTCCCTGGCGATGCGGGCCGTGGCTGTCGCGGGCCGGAGCGCAGCGGGCGGCGGCGGCACCGAGCGCGGCGGGGCGGCGGAGCAGGGCCGAGCCGAGCAGAGCTGCGGGACAGCGGGGGCGCGGCGTGAGAACCCCGCACTCTCCGGGGTCCGTGAGCCACCATGGTCCCGCATCATCCGAGGGTCCCGCACCCTCCGGAACCTCGCACCATCCAAGGGTCCCGCACCCTCCGAGGTCCCGGAGCCACCAGGGTCCCGCACTCTCAGGGGTCCATGAGCCACCAGAGTCCCGCACGATCCGAGGGTCCCGCACCCTATGGGGTCGCGGAGCCGCCAGGGTCCCGCACTCTCCGCGGTCCCGCACCATCCGAGGACCCCGCATCCTCCGGGGTCCCGCTGCCCCCGGGATCCCGCACCCTCAGCAGTCCCGCATCCTCCGGGATCCCGCACCCTCCGGGGTCCCGCTCCCCCCGGGATCCCGCACCCTCCAGGGTCCCGCACCCTCCGCAGTCCCGCATCCTCCAGGATTCCGCACCCTCGGGGGTCCCGAAGCCACTGGGGTCCCGCACCCTCCGGAGCCCCTCACCCCCCGGGGTCCCGCACTCTCCGGGGTCCCGCACCCTCCGCGGTCCCGCATTCTCCAGGATTCCGCACCCTCGGGGGTCCCGCACCGTCTGGAACCCCGCACCCCCCGGGGTCCCGCTCCCCCCGGGGCCCCGCTCCCCGCCGCCCCAGCCCGCTCACCCAGGGCGGCCCCGCGGGGCCGCGGCCGCAGCAGCGCCAGCGCCATGTCCGCTCCAAGGGCACCGCGCCCGGACACGGAAACGCTCCCGAGCTTCCGCCGCCGCTTCCGCCTCCGGGGCAACGGCCCGGCCCGGCCCGGAGCGGCGGCCGAGCTCCGCAGGGCAGCGGTGAGCCGCCAGAGAGAGCGGCGGATGGGGTTCAGGGAAGGAATCCTCCGCTGTGAGGGTGGGCAGGCCCTGGCACGGCTGCCCAGAGGAGCTGTGGCTGCCCCATCCCTGGAAGCGCCCAAGGCCAGGCTGGAGCATCCTGGTGGAAGGTGTGGTGCTCAGGGAACTGGAATGTCTCTAAATTCCCTTCCAGCCCGCACCGTTCTGTAATTCTATAATTCTGTCTTAAACCCCGCAACAGGTGCTCCTTACCTGTGTGTTCACTGCTGAAACACCTTGGTACACACCTTAAACACCTCCGTGAACATCCCATTTCTCTTTCCACTTGAAGGGAAAAAAGGAACAGCAGTCAGGGCTTGCAGTGAGGATTTCGGGCTGCTGGCACTGCTTTGTGCCTGTCCAGGACACAACAATCGCCCCACACATCCCCAGTGCCCTGATTTCATCTCCTGCAAGTGTGGTCAAGCAGAAACAAACAGCACAGGGAGAACACAGGCACCACCCAGACTCCCAGGCCCGTGCTCTGTCCCCGGGCTCTGCTCCAGAACAATGACAAAAGCATCGAACACATCTGGATTTATTTATTTTATTAAAAGGCTTGGCTGTTCGCTGCAGGGAGAACGGCCTGGTACCAGTTTCTCCAGTAACACTGGGCAGAGCAGAGACAGGACACAACACCCACCAAGGCCTCTCTGTCAGCACAAACGGTTTCAGCATCCCCATGGGGAAGGAAGGAAGGTAGACACAGCGGCCAGCCCACAGCAGGCTCTGCACAGGAGTCTAAACCAGGCAAACCGGTGGCTTTTGTCACCATTAGAGAAGTCACTGCCCCTTCAGCTGGAATGGGAGTATTCCCTCAGCTCCCCTCCGTGTCCAGCTGACCCTGTGCATGCCCCCACAGCTCTGTTTTTGGTGGAGGATGGGAAGACAACACTGCCGTGGGGGTTACAGTGACATTTCCCCTGTTACCAGCTTGATTTATCAGCCTGTCCTCTCTCCTACTGGCCATTATTTTGGTGAGCCAAAGAGCAATCTGTTCAAACATAATTTAAGGAAAAAAACAACCTGATCACAGCCAAGCTGGCAGGAGGAGCCCACCCGTGGGCCAGGGAGGTGCTGTGCTGCAGTGCTGCCTGGCGAGCGCGAGGCTGCCCAGGCTCGTTGCTCCCTGTGGGCTGGCAGCGTGTGTGTAAACCAGTGTTGGAGCAGTGCTGAGTGACAGACCTGCCTCTGTCCTCCCCTCCTGCTCTGAGCTGCACGCAGACCCCTCAGTCCTCATCAGAGCTGTCCTCAGATTTCTCATCCCCCGCCACCTTCCAGTTCTTCCTCTTGCTCCTCTTCTCCGGCACCTCGCTCGGCCTCTCGGGCACGGAGTTGTGCCGCTTCTTTCTCTTCCTTGGGGGCCGTTTCTCCTTTTTCCCCTCGGATTCAGTGTCCTCCGAGCTGCTGGTGCTGGAGCTGCTTGCATGGCAAAAGTCACTCTCCTGCCCAGAAGAAGAGGTAGGTTCCTTGGCAGGCACTTTCCTGGGCTTTTTCTTGCGCTTGTGTTTTCCTTTCCGGGTGCTTGGAGTCTCCTCTCCTGAGCCCTCGCTCTCCCCCCGGGAGGAATCTGTGGAACTTCTCTCCTGCTCCTTTTTCTTTTTCTTCCTCTTTTTGTGCGAGCGCTTTTTTTGCTTCTTCTTGTGGGATTTCTTGGTTTTTTTCCTTTTATGGGACTCACGGGCTGTTTGCTTCCCCAGGTGGGATCTCTTCTTCCCATTGACAGCATTTTGCTCATCTCCTTCCTGCTGATCACTGGAAAAAGAACAGGAGGAGGTGAACTGAAAGCCACTGAGTGATGAAACTCATTTATATCCAATCTGTAAGCCTGAAAAATATTGATGATTCTTCTGGGTGTAGGTTAAAAATAATTAACTCTGTCTTAAAATCTTGTTTTTCCACTCTCCAGGATACTGCAAGAATTTATTGGCCTCCCAGATTCATACATTTTGGTAACTCCAGCTAAACCTGAATATCTTAATTACTACAAAAGATTCTCCTAAGACTCACACCACATTAATGGATTTGAGTTTGTTAACAGTAAGGCTTTGCATTCAGGACTGATGCCTATTCAAAATTCAAAACTCAGTTTGTAAAATTCCCTGCAGAACTTGTCAGAAGGCAGATGCTGGATCCATCAGTAAGGGTGTCTGCCTTACCTGTCTGTGTCAAATTCTTCAGGGTACAACTCTTTGTATCCACTGTGCCCCCACCTGCAAGATAGCAGAACCATCCATCAAAAACAGACAACGTGTTTGAGGACAAAAATGCAATTCTGAAAAGGCAGAGCCACAGAATGAATCGGAATTTAGTCAGGGAGGAAGGAAATAGGACTGGTGTTATTTAAATACACCTTATGTTCTCACATCACAACTGATTTCATTAAATCTAACCCTGGACTTGTGTTTCCTGAGATTTTTTTAAGCTTATTGGGCAGAGTATTAATATTAATATTAAGCTTAGGGCTGGGCTTTTGGTGCTTAGTGTGCCTTAGAAACTCCACAGATGAGCTCAAATGGGTTATTCTGTGACATGGCAGAAGTTTGTACATGTTATTCATTCTCAAAATGAGCTGAAGCTCTATTTCATCACAGCACACACCAAACAGAAAACGTGCCATTTTTTGGTACAGGGCTCCAAAAAGATGTTTTAATTACAACCACAAAACACAATGAATTCCCCCACAGACCTGTCTGGCATGTTGGCTTCACATTCATACAGCTTTTTATTCCAGGATCTGGCCCTGAGGAGATCGTCTTCCACCAGGTCAAGGAGCTGTGGGTTCCTGGATTTCCAGTCTGCCCTGTGCCCCTCCTCGTCGAAGCCATCGCTGCGCATGCGGCTGCTGAGGAGAGGGAACAGCTCCTTCAGGGGGGAAACGCCTCCCCGAGCCCCCCAGAGCCCCCTCACTCACCTGGGACCTCCAACATGTCACAGTGAACACACTGAGATCGGGCTTAAGCACAGGCTTGACCTCTTTTCAGGGAGTTGTTAAAGAGAAAATGAATATTTCTGTGGTGTATCTCACCTGGAGGTGTCTGACAGCATTCTGCTCTGCCTTTTCCAGTAAGTCTCTTCTGTCTGCTTCTCCCACTCCCTTATTTTCCACATTTCTGTCTCTTCCTGAAGCTGAAAGCCACAAAAAGGGAAACTACTTTAACATCAGGGAAAACTCACAGTCATGCAGCACCAACCTCAACACTCCTGCTAAGGAAACTCACAGCCACCTTTCCTACCATCCCCAAAAAAAGGATTATTTACACATATCTGTATCCAAAAGAGAACTTCCTGGTGGTGGTTAGACCTGCTGAATTATGATTCATGAAATCAGTTTGCTAAACTTAATGGAGTTGCTTAACCTTGCACTAAAATCCTGCTTGTGCACGCAAAGTTCAAATCGTTTCATGCAATTAAAAGCACATACACAGTGCAACAAACAAAACAAAACAAAACCTATTGAGGATTTGCTATTTTTAGGTAAATACAGACATACTCCCGGGGTGACAAACGGGGTGAAACCGAAACTCGGGGAAAACCGGAACGGCGTTAAACCAAAAGTGACCCCGAGGAGGTGGCGGATTTACCAAACCCCTCGGATTTCTGCCCAACGCTCCGGCTGTCTCCTGCAGGATCAGCAGCGGGGCACGAAGGTGCATCACCGGGTGGCATCACCGGCACGGTGTCCCCGCATCACCGGGTGGCACCGCCGGGATGTCCCCGCAGCCCGGGGTGTGCCAGGACCACCACCGGGGCGTCCCGTACACCGAGATGTCCCCGCACCCCGGGGTGTCCCTCACCGTGTCCCCGCAGTCCACGGCTGTCCCTCACGGTGTCCCCACAGCCCAGGACTGTCCCTCACGGTGTCCCCGCAGCCCGGGACTGTCCCCGCACACCGGGGTGTCCCTCACGGTGTCCCAGCAGCCCGGCCCGCCCCGCTCGGCCCCGCAGGCCCCGCTCGGCGCGGGCGGCCCGGGCCTCACCTTGTTGTGCGCTCCGGTGTGGCGGATGACGTTGCGCAGCAGCACCTTCCCCACGGGCACGCGGGACATGCTGCGGGCGCTGCCGCGGGCGGCCCCGGGCGCGGTGCCGGTGCCGGGGCTGGCGGTGTTTGTGGCGGCGGGGCCGGGCCGGGCCGGGCCGG